ATTATCTCATAAATCAGGCGCTCCACTTAGCACTCAGGCCGGTGTCCGAAACAACTGACACTATGGGCCAATCAGAATTCGCTTATGCAACAAGGCCAAGCCTCACGTGACAAGGACCCTTTCGTCTCCATCTCCAGATCCTCCGCCTAGGATCAACACCGACCTACCTACCTCTGCCTGATTCTGACACCCTGTCGTGCCATCTAGCGAATGCATCGCGAACGCTCTCACGAATTCCAGCTTATAGTATCTAGTCATCTTACGTCACACTCCATGCGCAATGCCTGCGGTAGTTCGGGAGATGCCCGCTCGGCAAGCAAACCACCAGCCTCATCTACCATGACTCCACGGGAAAGAGAAGTCTAGAGATGGTCAATATTCGAGTATATAGGTCGTTCAGTTTCCTGCATTTCTAGAATCTATCATCACAAGCAACTCAACAACAACAGCAACAACAACAACCAACAACCAACAACCAAAAACCAACAACCAGCCTTCGCAACAGCTACTTTCTTCTTCATTTCAATCAACAACCACCAAGAACTCATATTCCTTCAAGATGGTTAACGTCAAGTCTCTCTTCGTTGGAGCTTCGCTCCTGATCAGTGGGATCTTTGCGGCTCCCGTCTCATCTGATGTCGCTGCTCCTGAGGCTCGTAGTCTCGATCGCAGGACATTCACAAAAGCGGCTCCTGATCCAAACAACATCCTGGAAAACACCTATATCGTAGGGCCCAACTACAAGAGTAAAGGCTATACATCAGCGACTGTCAGCGACTTGAGCGGCTGCACTGCTCTCTATATCTGGGACAAGGCCTTCATCCCATCCGTCTTCCATATTTTCTGCGGTCAAGAGAGGGCCGATGGCAAAGCGGCAGGGGAGATGGTAGATGAGCTCGGTTCGCAGTGGTGGGCGGGCGGTGCCGGCATCTTTGCGTCAACCACTACACGGGCCCAGGCTGTCGAGGCAGGACTCAAGGAGGCCATCCCGGATATCAGGATCATCAACACTGAAATCTACACTCCTGGCACGGGCGATATGGCGCGAACCAGGGTCACTGTTGCAAAGGGCAGCAACGTTTTCAATGAACAGAACTACCAAGGCACCCCAACTCAGCCCGGCCAGAAGAACTAGATGCTTGCAGAGTTTTCAGTATCAGCTCCGGCTTAGGAAATCAACAAGATGGATAGCGGTCAATTTGTGTAAGGTAGTGAGTTTCGTACGAAAGTAGCTGTATTGTCATTCCTTTATATGTTGTAGACCTTTGGATTTTATCAATTACAATTGCATCATAAGAAACTTCAGCGCAATGCTTCAGATTTGAAAAAAAAAGCATCTCATGAGACTCACAGTAGATTGGTAAACTGTATTCGTGCCACATACTGTTCCAAATTCTATCCTGCTTACTATCAAGATAACTCGGTAGGTTGAAACAGCGATTGTACGTTAACGTGTCTCCCTCGGTTGCCGGACGCACGGTGTAACCGGACAAATCACAGGTACTTTGACTTAAAGCAACTCAGGTTCATTGTGCACGTCGACTGTTCCCGTCATTTCATGTCATTCTTGTAGTTGTGGCCAATCCTGAGCCGCCCCCCACCCTGGCAAGTCCGAAATTCGCTCGCGTCGTCGCCTCCGCGCCTGATTACGGAGAGCCTCCTTTCATGGTGTATCAGGGTCCCTCGGCTTATAGCACCACCATCGAGCTCTTTTCACCCTCTAAACCCACAGAGGGGTCTGATTAAGGTTCCTGAGCCTTGCCACGAGGTTGATAAGTCATCGTCAGCCTTGTGGGCGGCATTCCAGGCTCGTTCATGCAGTGGGACCACGCCACTCGGTACATCTCATCAAACCCAACAAGTATTTCCCTAGTCCAACGATCTAGATCGCTTAATATCTTACGTACTATGTATTTTAATATACAGTCAACTCTCGATGGCGCGATACAAACAGGGAGCTAGGATTATATTGTTATATTAAAATATTGTTATAGCAAAATAGTTACGTAAGCTAACTATCTAGGGTGCCCTAGACAGCCTGCTTAGATTTCTAAGCCTTTGCTTTAGTATTTAGCTACTATAGAGTCTTTATCTACTAAAAAGTTATCTTATTTATATGTTCTTAATATAAGAGTAGTAACTTAAGAGCCTGCTCTGCCTTAGTAGAGGTAGGTATCTGTACAGAAGCCTTTTTATCTTCTAATTCCTCTTTAACTATAGCTAGTAGCTAGCTGTACCTTATAATAGCGTTTACTATATTAAATTTAAATTAATTAAGCTTATTATTTTTATTAATAAAATTAAAAAAGTTCTTAAGACTTATAACATCCTAGATTCTGCTAGTGTGCTGTACTTATTTATATAGCTCCTTTAGCTCCTACTAAGGCTGCTCCTTTAGATTAGGTAGATAGATTAGTTCCTATGTAGGCTAGATTCTAGCTTAGTAGAAGCAGTAATAGACTATATTACTATAAAAGTTGTTATACTAGGCTTAAGAGGCCTAGTGTAAGGCACAGTAAAGGTTAACTTTAGTAGCTAAATTAGCGCCTTACTTATAGCTAAAAACTATATAGTGTATTTACTACTTTTTATAGCAGCGCTTAAATTAACTAATTACACTTTAATTAAGTAGCTAATAAATACTAGTAAAATTTGCTAGTAGCTATTAAATCTAAATATTTAGTAAAAGTAGCATTAGATTAACTTTTAATATATAAGTGCTATAGTTATCTATAAGTAGTAGAATAGTCTTAGTCCTAATCTACTAATAAAAGGCCTATAGCTAGTTTTTTATAACTATATAGTTTATTTATGCCTTTAGATTTAACAACTATTAGATATCTAAAGCCTTAAGGTTAACATAATATAGAGCATGTAGCCTAGCTGCCTTTTTAATAGCCTAAAGAGTAAAGCACTAGCTGCTAGTAAAGTTATAGTAGCATATAATTAATATCTAGCTTTTATCTTTTTTTTACTAAGCTAAGCTTTAGTTAAGAGGCCTAATAATAGTACTTACTGCTAATATAGGCCTATTTTATCTATATTAAATATATTCTTCTTTATGTACTCTCTACATAGCGTTCTAATAGCTCTTATCTTTTGCTTAGCTTAGGCTAGCACTAAAGCAGCCTTACTATAATGCTTATAAAGCTTAATATTATAATGTTGCTTAAAGTTAGTAAGCTAGCCTACACTAAACTCTAGTATAGAGAGGTTAACATAATTAGGTATCTACAGCTAGATAGCCTTTGCTTTCTTAATAAGGATATTACTAAAGACGTTGCTGCTAGAGCTTTTAAAGTGCTGCTACTAGTTAAAAAGAATAGCTTTTAAGATAGGCTACTGTGCCTACTATTAACATAAGCAGTTAGTAGTAGAGCTATAAGCACTATTAAAGTAGCTATATTACTTTAAAAGAGACTTAAATACTATTAACTAATAGATTTAATAGCTATATTCTTGCTTAAACTAGTTAATTATGTTAATCTACCTCTAAAAGGGCCCTTAACATTAGTACTATTATTGCAGAGTACGCTGCTGCTTATTAGTAATTACTATATGTAGCATTTTCTTTTCTTAATATAACAATATTTAATTAAAAAGCCTATAACGTACTTCACAGGCGAGTTGCTCACACACCTGAGTCGCTTACTTTTGCCAAGACCCTACCCTAACAAACTCTATTATAGCCTATAACAACCTGCTCTAGCACTATATAGTATAGTACAGCCTAGAATATTATTTAGATACTACTTCTGCTTCTTGCTTACACATTTACATGTTATGCCTAGTCTAATTGCACTATCTGCAGCGCCTTTAGAATAGCTTACTTACTTTAGCTTACACCTGCTTCTTTGCCTTTTTTCTATTACTACGCGCTCTAAACTCCTTTAGAGCTGTTAAGTATAAGCTTTTTTAAATTATTAAAGTTTTTTCTGCTTTAATTTACTTTTTTTTATATAATTTATGTTATGTAGTAGCCTTATTAGCTGCTTAAAGCTTAGTAATTTTCTATTATACTAATACTAGCTTATACATAATTATTACTACCCCTTTTAAGACTTTTTTAAACACTTTAACTATAAAAGTTAGTAAACTATTTATATGCTTTTAAATTTTTATTTTTATAAGCATTAATTATAACTTAAGTTTTAAAGTATTACTTAGGGTTTATAACTACTAGAGCTTATTATATATAAGTAGTAGTAGTAATAAAGTGCGCAACTTTATATTAAGGCTTATTATAACTTATTATAGGTTAAAAGAAACTAATCTAGCGCTTTAAAACTTTTCTTAGATATTACTAAAAGTAATTATAGTATTATAAGCTACTTTAAAGTATAGTAAAAACTTTATTTTTATAATATAAGTAATTTAGTTATGTATAAAGTTTTTAGCTTAGCGCTTATATACTTTTTTTAAAGAAGTAAAACAACCTACATTAAGTAGCTATAAAAGGTGTAATAAGTAAAAAAGTATATAAATAGTAATAATTTTATTATCTTTATAGTATTACTAAAAATAAAGTAAGTTATAGCTTTTATAGCTGTTAATAACTAGTAGGTAGTAGCTGCTAACAGTACACTTCTTTATATGCATATTAAAGTGCTTTAACTAGTCTAGACTAAGCTAATTAGTAGTCTAGCTGCGCTTAGAGATTATAATAACTTAATTTTAAAGTAGATTTTTTTTATACTAGTTTAAAAAGTAGTTGCTACTCTAGAAAATAATAAAAAGTAAAATAGCCTACTTTTTAGTATTAATGCCTTAGATAGCTGTTGTCTACTTTTAGTTACCTAGCTAGACTACTTTTAGCTATTCTTATCTCTCTAAACTTATAATAACTGCTTTAGTAGATATCTAGCCTATTATAAACTTTATTTTATTAAAGTTATAACATACCTAATAGGTTAGCTAGCCACACAGGTTAGCTAGCCACTTTTGCTAAGCCCCTACTAAAACTACCCTATTCTAGCGCAAAACAGCCTACTTTAGCCCTATATAAAGTAATATAACATAAGATATTATTTAAAGTCTACTTTTACTACTTTCTTACATATACGCAAGTTATGCCTAGTTTAATTGCACTGCCTGCATTGCCTTTAACTTAGCTTACCTTTTTTAGCGCGCACCTGCGTCTTTAGCTTCTTCTTATTACTACACGCTTTAAACTTCTTTAAAGTAGTTAAATAAGCTTTATTTTTAACTATTAAAGTTTTTTTTGCTTAAATCTGCTTTCTTTTATGTAATTTATGTTATATAGTAGCCTTATTTGCTACTTAAAGCTTTATAATCTTCTTTTACACTAACACTAGCTTATGTGTAATAATTGCTACTTTTTTAAAACTTTTTAAAGGCCTTTAGTATAAATATTAGTAAGCTATTTATATACTTTTAAATTCTTACCTTTATAAGCATTAATTATAACCTAAATTTAAAAGTATTACTTAGAGTTTATAGCTACTAGAGCTTATTATTAATAAGTAGTAGTAGTAATAAAGTATATAACTAGATATTAAAGGCTATTTTAATTTATTCTAAGTTAAATAGAACTAAACTAGCACCTTAAAACCCTTTTTAGATATTACTAAAAGTAATTACTATATTATAAGTGTGTATAAAGCATAGTAAAAACTTAAGTTTTATAATATAAGTAATTTAGTTACATATAAAATTTTTAGCTTAGCGCTTATACACTTTTTTTAAAGGGGTAAAACAACCTATATTAAAAGGCTATAAAAAGAGTAATAAGTGTAAAAGTATATAGATAGTAATAATTTTATTTTTTTTATAGTACTACTAAAAATTAAGTAAGTTATAGCTTTTATAGCCATTAATAATAAAAAGCTAATAAGCGCTTATAAGTTTTTTTTTATATGCTTATTAAAGTGCTTTAACTACTATAGCGTAAGCTTATTTATTATTTAGCTATTTTTAAAGACTATAATAACCTAGTTTTAAAGCAGATTTTTTTATACTAGGTAAAAAAGTAATAGCAGCCCTTAAAAATAAAAAAAAATAAAATAGCTTACTTTATTATATTAATACCTTAAATAACTATTATTTACTTTTTATTACTTTACTATATTACTTTTAGCTATCTTTATTTTTTAAAGCTATAATAACTACTCTAGTTAATATTTAGCCTATTATAAAGCTTAACTTATTAAAGTTATATGTATTTTTATTTTAAATAACGTACTTTACAGGCAAGTTACTTACACACCTAAGTTACTTACTTTTACTAAGACTCTACTAAACTACTCTTTTTATACTAATGCATTTCTTAC